AAGAAAGAAAGAAAGAAAGAAAGAAAGAAAATAAAGGAAAGAAAGAAAAGGAAAGAAAGAAAATATTTCAGAGTTTTGGGGGAGGGGTTTGGGTGCGGGGAGAGGATACCTCTGGAGGAAATGGCCTTCTTTTTAAAAGCAAAAAACAAACACAAAACCTCACAACTGCCTGGCAAGCCCAGCACCTCTTGTCCGGGCCGAGCGGGGCTCAGAGACGGCCACGCGCCTCTCCTGGACGGGCGTGTGCGTGTGAGTGTATGAGAGCGTGTGGGCTGGTGTGTGAATATATATAAATACGTATATATGGTGTACATTATGTGTATAAATGAAGTCTGTACATATTGGAGCTCTGGGAGATGCTGGAATAAAAGGCAAGAAGAACGTGAGTGCTTGGGCTGACTTTTTGTTTTCTGAGGTGTGACGGAGGCACGAGGGCAGGAGGTAGGGCTGTTCCGGAACCAGGGGGACCCCGCCATGGCACAGGCCCCAGAGTGAGCCGTCCGGTGCACTCGCCATTGGCCACGTGTCGCTTTTTATTCGTGTAATTAATTAAAATGAAACGAAATCACAAATCCAGGTCCTGAGTCCCATGGCCACGTTTCTTGGAGAAGCCCCACGGGGTGGGGCGTCTTGGAGAAGCGTCTTGGAGAGCCCCACGGGGTGTGTGCCTCCCACACTACAGGTCCAGCTATTTCCATCATCCCGGAAAGTTCTCTTTTGCCCGAGAAGGGGCTCTTGGGAGCTTCTTTCCTGAATAGTTTCTCTTTGAAGTTTATTTATTTATTTTGAGCGAGAGCGAGCGAGCAGGGGGAGGGGCAGAGAGAGGGGGGGCAGAGGATCTGACGTGGGTTCCGTGCCGAGGGCAGAGAGTCCGACGCGGGGCTCAAACTCTGAACCGCGAGATCATGACCTGAGCTGAAGTCAGACGCTTAAGCGGCTGAGCCACCCAGGCGCCTCCGAACAGTTTTTGAAGCCAAGGCTGCCGTCCCCGCTCTGGAATGGTATGGAGGCAGGTGGCGTTGGCACCTGTCACTGCCGACCCGGGAGGGAAGGGAGGCGAAGGGCTTCACCGTGTGCGGGATAGGGGTCTGGGGCCATTGCTGTGGGCAAGGGGTGAGGCAGGGAGGGGGCCGAGGGAGGAAGGGGTGAGTTCCAGATGCTGGTGGCAGAGCCCAGGCTGTGGGGTGCGACTGGCGGGCGGGGCTGCCTGGGGCCCCGGCTTCCTTCTCCTGGCTCAGTCTCCATCCTCAGATGTCTGGAGCTGCCTGCAGGCAAGGCAACAAAACCGATCCCCCCCACCCGAAAGGGAGGTGTTTTCTCCGTCTCCCCACCCACCACCTCACTGGCATCTGTCCACCTGTCTGTCCACCTACCGCCCGCCCACCTGTGCGTCCTCCCTTTCACACTTCCCGGCTTCGCAGCACCAGGCACCAGGCGGCGGGGAGGAGGGAAGCAGAGATCAGCGGGGGCGGGAGGCGGACCTGTCAACCAGACCCAGCTGTGCAGCTCGATGGCTTTCACGGACGCCCCGGGAAGCCGGGGGACAAGAGCCACCACGGAGAGGCCACGGCAGCCAGGTCCTAACCACCTGGAGGGCTCTCGCCCACTGGAGGAGCCGCTCACTCACTCACCCCTTTCCGCAAACCCCTTGAGCTCCTGTTAGATCCTCGGGCACCGTGTTAGTTGCTGGGGCCGCGGAGGTGAGCGAGGCCTCAGCCGCCTCCGCCCGCAGGCAGTGCGCAGTTGGGTGGGGGGTCCCCAGGAGGGGGAGAGGGGAGCCGTGTGTCCGCAGGAAGCGTGGCCGTGGACGCTGGCCATTCAGGACGCCGGACGTTGTGTTCCAGACGAGCCCATCTTCTCTCAGCCTCAGTTTCCCATTTAGTATCCAAGGGAGACTCACCACTGTCCTGCCCCCTGCTGGTGGGAGAGGAAATCAGGTGCACTGCGCCTGAGCTACTTACTGAATGCCGTCCGGGTGGGGCTCCCATGGGGGGGGGCCTTGATCCCGTTAGTCAAATGCTGGTTGAGACGTTTCCTAGGACAGCGATCGACCGGTAAGTTGCGGCCGCTTGGGCCGGTGACCAAGCCTGGGGGCTAGGATCTGGCAGGCCTGTGTTCCAGTCCCGCCCCATGAAAGGCCTGTCGTGTGTCCTTTAGCCCGTCCCTTCGCCTCCAGGCCTCAGAATCCTCACCTCTAAACCGGGGGCGACGACGCTTCAGGGAATTGCCGAGGACAAGCGGTAACGAGTCCGTGGAAAGCACCCGGGACATCCTCCAACAGCAGCGTTGCGATTATCCCTTACATCACCACAGCCTGCCTTGTTCCAAACGATTTGAGGCAGACTGTCTTATTAAGAAGTCCCCCTTCTGTGCAGGAGTGGGCGTCTGGGAGCTCTGCGGGTCTGTTAGATCCTAGCCCTACAGAACGCTCGCTCAGCTGAAGGGGACCCGGGAGATCCTCAGTGACTGACTTAGCTCCACGGCGAAATTATCATATCAGTCAACAGCCCTTCTCCAGAGTCTCTGACAACAGAGCGAGGGTGGGCTGGGGGCGTCTGGCGGCTCCAGAGACGTGGAAACACGTCGAGGACGTGCCTGGCATGGGAGGGAGAGAGGCCCTCGCTTTAAGGGGCTGATCAGAGTAACAATAACCGCAGCATTTTGGGAGCACTCACGTGTCCTCGTGGCCGCTCTGCTGGTGAGGGACTCGAGGCTCAGGAAGTAATTCCCCAAAGGCAGCATCAGGGCCTGACTCCTGCCCCCAGACCACCCTGCCTCCAAGAGTAAAACTGGAGACAGACCAGAGTTCCAACGATGCTTTCCCCGCTCACCAGCTGTGTGATGTCAGGCGAGCACCTTAACCTCTCTGTGCCTCAGAGAGGAGATAGGAACAGTCCAGGCCAGGGGAATTGAATTGTCAGTCATTCCACATTTACGGAAAGCCTACTGTGTGCCAGGACCCGGATCCAGGTAGGCACTTGGGTAGAGTGGGGTGAACTCTGCACACGGCCCGGCCCCCATTTTGCTGATGGGCACAGAGGGCACTGACAGTAAGTAAGGACAACACGTC